AGGAATGTAAAACATTTTTCCCTTGCCCCTCAAGATTGCCCCTTTGTGCACATCAGGGTGGCATTAGCTGGTCTGGCCACAGCATCCCTCCAGGAGCTCACACCCATGTAACCATCCACCATGGTTCCCGAGCCTTTCAAAGATTCACCGGTTCTCAAGATAAAATGTGCTGTTGTATAAACCGGGGTAGGTCTCCAGATTTTGGTGGGGGGGGGGGATATCTTTATCCAGAATTCCAATGGTTATTATTAATTATTATTATTATTTTCACTAGACATGGAGCAGATATTTTGAGACAATTAATGCCAAGATATTATTATTGATGGGTTCAGGTAAATTAGACCCCGCTCATTTTGTATGTATATTTGGGGGGATATTTTGCTATGTGCATTACTCTGCATTTATCATCATTGAATTTCATTTGCTCTGTTGTGGCCCAGTTACCCCGTTTTGTGAAATCCCTTTGTAACTCTGCAGTGTGCTTGGGATTTAATTATATTTTGTATCATCTGCTCATTCTGCCAGGTCACTGTTTGCCCTCTTTCCAGATTATTTATTGAACAACACTTGCCCCTGGACAGACCCTGGGGGGCACTGCTGTTTACTTCTCTGCTTATTCCCACCTTTTGTTTCCCCTCTTTTGACTGGAGTACCTGACAATGCTTTCAGGGTCAGCTGCTGATCCTTCATTTACTTTAATGCTGAGCCTTTTGGAGCCCCGCCTCAACAGCACCCCTGTTTATGAGCACAGTCTCATTTCCTTGTGCCTGGGTCCACAGACTGACATTCAACCGCATTCAAGTGCTCACTGTCTCCTCATATGCCCTTACTAACCGATCCACATCCAGAGTCTGGAGAACTTGTTCCAGGGCTGCAGCGTAAGGGGAAAGGGCAGACGAATTCGGACTGAAGCAGGGCAGTTCGGTGACGTGAGGGTTCAAGAGACACATCAAGTGAATGAAGTTACGCAGGCAGTGGGGGAGGTAGGAGGAGAGTGTGTTCATGCCAGGGGTTCTGAGGGTGAGGCAGGGACGTAGCGAGGGTGTTATGCGCCCAGGGACTGAAGGCAAAATTTGCGTCCCCCACTGCTGCCTCATGGCGGGGCCCCAAACCTGGCACACAGCTGAGCCCAACCCTTCCACATCTTACCGGACCCCCTCCAGTTTGGGGCTGGGCCCCGCAGGCACTGACCCTTCAGCAGAGGTGGAGGGAGGTCGGACTGGGGGCAGAGAGGAGGGGAGGAGGCAGCTCCAGCCAGTGGCGGCAGGCAGAGGAGAAGCAGGTGAGCACAGGGATAACAGGGAGAGTGGAAGGGGACTATACTGGTGCTCACAGACATATACATCATAAAGTTTTGTGGTTTACATTCTGTTAAATAATTGTTTATCTTTAATTTATTCATACCCCGTTCTCATTAGGTTCATGTCTTTTACATAAAAAGTCAAATTCTTCAAATATGTAAGTTTTATAAAACATGCGAGAAATGTGACACAACCTAAATATGAATTTCATCACTATATTTCAATCAAGCATTTAAAACCACTGTTATATCAAATGAGTAACTCATTGCTTACAATAAATTGATGTGCTCAAAATCTCTTTTACCTTTTATTCATTAAAGCAATCTGTAATGCTTCCTAACTGGCAAGTTACTTACCTAGTGAACCTAATTGTATTTCATGCTATCACAGAGATCATAGTTATGAATGTAAGAGATTAATTTACCTGTTAAAATAACACACAGAAAATCTTTTAAATAAAACTAACACACAACACGACAATCGCCCTCACTTTCTTCAGGGCACTTGAAGCAATAAGTAGTCTAAGGCTGAGATTACACTTCAGGCATGGCTTTCTGTCTGCCACGAGGACTTTTTCCTTCAGGCTGCCGTGAAAGTCTATCCTTAAGTAAAGGAGAGAGGTCTCTCTGAGCTGCTCTTCCAAATTTCACATAAGCCATTCATCAAGATTCAAAGCCAGCCTTGCATGAGCAGACTACCTAGCCAGGTGTTCATAATCACAACATCCAAACATGTATAAGACTTTTAGCTGAGAAAGCCATGTTAATCCTAAATCTCTGCTATGACTGGGAGTGTGGGTGACCTATAGAAAACACCAGCATTTTCTTTGGAAAATCCGCAACAAAATGTGGAGAGATCTATCACCCCAGTAATGCCAACTCCTTTAGAATTGAGGCCCGGATTATCCAGCACCAGCTGAAGCAGAGCAGACACTGTGTGCACGTGTCTGATATATTTTTACCAAAACTCCTGCCTGCCCAACTCACCAAAGGAGAAAGGAAAGAGGGAGGCCAAAAGGAATGGTGGATAGAGCCGTGTTTCTCAACCTTTTGTTTAAATAAGTTTCAGAGGGGTAGCCAAATTAGTCTGTAATGGGAAAAACTTAAAAAAGAACAAAACAGTCTAGTAGCACTTTAAAGACTAATAAAATATAGAAGTCCTTTTATACAGAAACTTTGTAAACTTTCATATAGAACGCAGAAACTTCGTATGAAGTCTTTTTACATAGAAACCTTATATCTTATAGACTTTGTACCCCCTTTTGCTCAATGGATTGTCCTGTTGAGTGAACGAGGTGTGAATAGATAAGACATGAAAGACCAGCACCTCCCTGAACTTGCAATGGTTGGAGAAAGGTGGAATGAGAAGACCAGGGCTGGCCTTACCATAAGGCAAACTGAGGTGGCTGCTCAGGTGCCAGACTGTGGAGCCTCAAAAAATGAGGCTTATAGGATCTGTCAAAAAACAGTTTATTTTCGACAGATCCGTGTCTAGACTGCCATTTTTTTTCAAAAAAACGCCGTTTTGAAAAAAAGTGGTGGCCATGTTTATGCTAATGAGGCACAAGATATTTAAATCCCGGATTCATTAGCAATTTTGATGTGCCTAATCTACATCTCTCTGTCGACAGAAACATGTAGTCTAGACACACCCTATTTGAAACGAGGTGTGAATAGATAAGACATGAAAGACCAGCACCTCCCTGAACTTGCAATGGTTGGAGAAAGGTGGAATGAGAAGACCAGGGCTGGCCTTACCATAAGGCAAACTGAGGTGGCTGCTCAGGTGCCAGACTGTGGAGGGTGCCACTAGGACCCAGACTGTAGAAAATTGTGTCTGCTGCTGGTGCATATGTAGGTAGCAGAGCAGTCCTATGAGAGAAGCAGAACGGGAAGAATTGAGACCTTTCAAAGTTTTGGCCCAAGCGAGGGGATATGGGGGCGTCATTTGAGCTCCCCGCCTCAGGTGCAAAGCTGTTGTGGGCCGGCCCTGGAGAAGAAAAATGGGACCTGTGAAGTGGGGCCTTTGAAAGAAGACTGGACTTATGGATGCCTTGGGAGTCAGCAGCAAGCGCCTGCTTTTGGAAGCTCCCTCTTTGAAGGTGAATGGGGCAGACTAATGGGATAGATCTGCATGAGAATGAAGACACTATAAATCTGAGAATAGTGATAGAGATGTAGCCGTGTTAGTCTAGTGTAGCTGAAACAAAAAACAGAACTATGTAGCACTTTAAAGACTAACAAGATGGTTTATTAGGTGGCCTGGCCCACGAAAGCTCATCACCTAATAAACCATCTTGTTAGCCTTTAAAGTGCTACATAGTCCTGTTTTTTGTTTCAACTATAAATCTAAGGCATCTTGCAGAGAGACTCCTGGCTTTCCTCTTGTCAACATGGGAGCATCGATCTGGCTCCACCCCTCCCACACCTAACTCACCAGGCCAGTTAAGGGGAGCAACTATTGGTAAAAACAAATAAAAACACTAGTACCCCTCCCACACCTAACTCACCAGGCCTGTTAAGGGGAGCAACTATTGGTAATAACAAAATATGTGCGTTTGCGCGTGCGCTGTATCATATGCATATGATAAGTGTTGACTGCTATGTGTGTATTACCAATAAATGTGGCATTTGGCCTTTTCCTCCTGAAAAGATCCTGTGCAGCACTCTTAAATACAACACAACCACCCCTTCCCCAGAGTCAGGCACCCCCAGCGCCCCCCCAACCAAATACCCCTCCCCCAGAGCCAGGCACCCCCAGC